CCCCCCATGACCCTAGTGAGGATTAAGTGATGTGTAGATAATGGACTTTCCAAATTCTAGTCATAGAACTCAACATTTATTGTTAACACTGCAAGCTGTTACCATGGAAGTCCTTTGTTAGGCTCATATGTCTTGCTTCAGTCTATAAGAGGTGAGGACATTAGCAGGTTGATCACAGCAGACTGGGGGAGCTAAAGACCTCACCCCTGAACCCAAGAAACATGGCTTCTGCGAAGAGGTGTGCCTTAAGGACACAGGAGAAGGCTTGTTCATAGCTGGCAGAGGTAGTCAAAAAAAACTTTGCATTGTCAAGGTGCCAGAAGTAGAAGAAATGATTCATGAGTATTTTTGAGCTGTCATGGTTAATGTGCCTTTTCAATATTGAGGTCAGGAACAGGGGAATAGAGGGTGTCTTCAGTTATTTGGTAATCACGCCATTTAGCCTCCACTTCTGGTTATGTCAGGGTGCTGGAAAGGATCAAGTTAATTGTCAGACTCGCCCTGCATTCCAAATCACATGCTTTTTCCTGTCAGTATGTACTGCAGCTATTCTGTGGGTCAGAATGACCAGAAAAGAATCCTGGCTTGCGTGCTGAATAATAAGACCAGATGTAGATGGATGTCCTGGTATTTTTGGCATGCTGCATTTGACATACTATGTATAGGGTAATACATTTTCTTTCTGGCATACTCTATAGTATGGTAGTATTAGTACTCACTGCTCATATTCACAAACAACAATATGGATCCTACACCATTCAGCAATATTATTAAAACCGGACAATCTTGGGTTCTAGCATTCATATGGTTGCTACTTTCACATGTTCCCCCCACCTAAACATTATTCCAAAAAAAAACCCCCCATGGCTGTGCCCTCCCCCAGCTGGACAATGGGCTCTGCCACACTGCAAAAACTGCTCAAGGACCATTACAAAGAGTCCAAGGTGCTGGCCTGGCCTCCAAATCGCCCACTTCAGACTCTGATCAAGCATCCTTGAGATGTCCGGTTAACCCGCCTGATCCTTTGAGGTTTCACCACCGGTAGCACCTCGAGTCATCCCTTCCCCACGCAGTTTCACAATCCTTCACACCTGTTGAGCTTTGGTTTCATCGCTTCTCGCCTGATGCTCAGTGAAAGAGGATGATAGCAGGTAACTTTTCACCCTTTTTGCACAGTGTTGCTGCTACGAACAGGAATATTTTACCTCGTCTTTTAAAGAAGGAAGATCAGTGTGTATGGAAGATGGATTTTAACAGTTCTGTAGATATAGATGGGTCAATGGATGATTTTGTGGGTGCACATGATATTTGTCAGTGTGAATTACTGACACGATGACTGAATCAGATCTAAATGAGTCCTCCTTAAACCTTCTCAAGTCCAGGTGTTGAAGTAAATTGCAAATGATCTGCTCGAACAAATTTAAAAGCGCAGTAATTACAGGCAAGTTTCTTAGTTATTAGCACACTTTCTAACTTGAGTGGTTTCATTAGTTAAAGACTTTGTTGCTTTAAAAACTTGATCTTATATTATGTAATGGCAGCAGCAGCAGCAAGTAGCCACTTCATTAAGCAGACCTGTACAATCTGTTACAACAGCTAAACTATAAATTCTACCTTTGCACATGAGCCAGTGTTAGGTTTTTGTTGTTGCAGCTTTCACTGTTTCACTCTTTTAGGAAGCAGCACTGAAAGGAGAAAAAGTGCACCTACTGTGTTACATTATTATTGCTATTAGTGCAAGTGCTTATGTAAATGGATTGTAAATGTAAATGGAGGCACTGGAAGCAGCTTGCAGAGAGCTCCAGTAGATGAGCAAAGTTGTGAGAAATGCAGTGATGCTTCTGAATTCAGCCTCAGCCAACGTGATGTCTTTGTCGCCTGGAAGTCATAACAGGCCAAATGCTTTATATCTCCGAATATAGCTTTTTGAAATAATGGATAGACCTCCCTGTGACACACGATTTTACAGTTTGATTCCCAGCCCTTCTGTGTGAAACACTTTCATATTAAAGGACTGTAAGGAGGTATCTGCTGATTTCCAGGTAATGTGGAACACCAGAAGAGTCTAATTCAATTCAATTGTGGCTTATTTGGGTCCATAAAGCAGTAGGTTATGAGGTTACAGGCTGATTCCAACAGACTGGAGTTGGTCCAGGCAGACGGAGCTGACAAAAACTAGTGCTGTTTTATAAAAAAAAGAAAATATATACCATGTATTATCATTATGTATATTATATCTGTCTAGCTGGAAGCTAACAACAATTAAGACTATACAAACAAACAAACTCCCATATTTCCTTAAACAAATGTCATCTGGATGGTTGTTTTGCTGCAGATAAGTAAAAGTGAAACTCAGTCTTACAGTTGGCCTATATGCAGTTAAGTCCCAAATGATCCATAACTATGCCAAATATTGATTTAGCCTTTGTTTTGTTTGGTGAAAGAAAGCAGAATTCAGCCACAAGAACACCATCCTCAAGGTCGCACATGGTGGTGGGAATGTGATGCTTTGGGAGTGTTTTTCAGCTGATGGGCCAGACAACCTTGTCAAAATAGACAGTACCAGCAAAGAACACAGGACAACATTAGGATGGTGGAGGAAAACATCAGGCAGTGTGCAAAACATGTGTCCTTGAGTAGCATTGGACCTTCTGATCTGAAACATGCAGCCAAAGTGGTCAGGAAGTGTTTACAGAAAACAGTATTACCCAGTTGGATTGGTCCAGTCAGAGTCCAAACCTGAAGCCCATCAACTGTGGAGGGAACTGTATAGACCAGACTGATAGCAAGGAAGGCTTTAACTTCAAAGTCCAGGAGACGATCACAAAAGAGTAGTGGTCCATAACCCCAGTGGAGACCTGCAGAAAGCTTGTTGGTAACTATAACAACTGTTTGATTGATGTGGTGGCAAAAAGGCTCTGCCACTGATTATTGAGAAAGGTGTAATTATTTTTTTTTAGACATGAAATTTTAAAAAAGAAATAATTACAATCTATTATTAACATCTCTATCACAATGTCTTATAATCTTTTGACACTTGTTTGCCATTATAGCCTGTATAAGCTCCTGATTGAGATAGACTGCTCCTCCTCCTCAGGCAGGTCCTGCTCTTTACAACATCCTGCGTCGTCTATTTAAATGGTTTATTATCAGTAATATGAAAACGGGATGAGGGCAAAACCTGAAACTAAGCTCAGGCTCGCCGTATCACAGTGTAAGCGCTTAGTCGCACCATCAGCACTTTGTACAGAGCATGAAGCCGATCCCTGACGGTGGACAAATGATCCAGTGAGACCATGAAGTACGATTTCAGCCTGTTTTTAGCGATGAAGAGAAGAACTGGCACAGCTGGCACAGCCGCTGCCTAAGGAGTACAGTTTGCTATCGCTAGCAAATACATACTGGCAGCTGCACAAGCCTCTACATTTGTAGACATGTTTACAATACAGGGATAATCCTGCTGGGGTCTCCATTCACCCCGTCAGGGCTTATGTGCAATAATGACCAGCTCACTGTACATAATCCTGTTTATTACACAACTACTTTCCCAAGGTGAGCTGTAATGATTTCTCACACAATATTGTTTTAAAGTTGCGTTT